GGCATGCTCCTCGCTGATGTCCTTAGCAATCTGTCGATACACCGCTGCTTCGGATGCATCCTTCGTTTGAGCCATTTGTTCATAGAACTGACTCATGTCCAGAACCATCTCATTGATGGAAATTCCATGGATCTTCTTTTCACTGGAACCCCCCTGACCGGTGGTTGTGGCACTCTCCCACTTCCTCCTCCTTTGTGCCTTCCGCTTGGCCTTCTTGGAGTGTTCCTGAACAGGCTCCACCTGTGGCGGGTCCTGATACAAAATCAAATCATGGGAAACATTGTCATGTCCGCGCGCTGGCGCGACCAAATCCATGCCACGCTTATTATTGTTATCATGGTCATCTGGATACAGATCGCATACACATGCGTACTGTCGTTCCATGCAATCCTCACAAAAAATGGACGTTGCATCCCCAACACATTGTGAGCAAACGGCTGCCTCCTGATACTCGGGCTTATCATGCTCCTCAGCAACGGGCTTAACAGCCTCCGCTGGTGCTGCCTCAGCTGTCGACGTTGCACCTTGTTGTGGTACACCTGCAAGCTGTTGCGGCTCAATGGCAAAGATTGGAACATTGTTTTGAACCCGTTTGGCATACCATCTATGCTCGAGAGGACACCATACTCGACACCTTTTGTGATCTAGTACGATGTATGGAGCTTCACCATGACGCCAAATGAATGTGCGTCCACGCTTGATCTGTTGACCAATTGACATGGCTAAAGGGCAATGTTCAAGCAAATGAAGTTTCAAATCTCCAACACGTTTGGCATACAACTTCAACTCTTCGTGAGATGTCTGCGGTCCACCGCCAGTTGCAAATCTCACAGGGTTCTGAAGACATCCGATCCACGGCTTGAGCAACTCTGGATCTATTCCCTGTTCCTGGATTGCATGCAATGAACCTATATCATATGCAGCACCTGTGTCTCCAAGCAATTCAATGCTCATGGAGCGGAACTGCTCAATGCAAGGGTGAAGAGCTGATGCAGCCGACACGCATTCAAACTTGGGAGAATCAACAATCGAAGAAATCAAAGTTGCCAAAATGGGAACGCTCAGCTTCAAAAACACGGACATGGATGGCAAGGCCTTTGAGCAAAAATCACAGAAACCTTTCCAGGCCGCCATGACCTTCTGTCCATCGACTTCAGTGATCGTGACTGTAGATGCCACTGCCGCTGCTGCCGCTGTTGCTGGTGGAGCACTCGCTGCAGCTCCCTTTGTTGCCTTTCCATCTCCTTTCTTTCCCTTCTGGGCCTTTCCTCCTCCCTTGGATCCCTTTCCATCTCCTTTTTCGGAACCTTTCTGACCACCCTTTGAACTCAGCATTGATTGCTGGTGCTCCGTGAAGGCCTTCTTCGCTGCATCTGATCCTGGTTCTCCTTGATGATGGTTCCTGCATCTTTTGCCAAATCTACAATGGCCAGCCGCGTGGAGGGCACATGGTGCCTTCCGGTTCTTCTCATGGTTCACCTTCCCAACATCTAACGGACCAGCTGCCGCCGGAGCATTGCCCTTCGATTCATGCTTGGGCTTGTTGGCTGAAGCCTTTCCTGACTGCTCATGCTGTTGCGCTGGAAGCGCAAGCTGACTTGGTGGATTCGACTGCAACCCCTTTGATACATTCTCGAAGTTGCTGTCATGGCGCCGCTCTCTCAACTCTTCTGCAATCTGTGCCCATAGCCAGTCGAACGTCCTCTTTTTGGAGTTGGCCTTGCTGTTCCTGACCCGCTCTGTCACACGGTTCAACATTGGCACTCTCTTCACCTGATGCCATAGCCATGCGTAGAGCGTGTTCTCGGCTGGCCTGTCCTCAGGCTTCAACCCATGCAAGACGTAGTTGGTCTTCTTCACAAAGTCCCCAACCTCCTTGAGAGATTTTCCGGTCAACTGAAGCGACAACAGATGCATCTGACTGAGAGCCACTGACGAATCAGTCCCAGTCTCGTAGAAGCTGATAATGAGGTTCATCAGAGGCATGCCCTTGGGGCCCTCTTGCTTGGTTGCGCATTCCTCCACCCATGAAGTCAGTTCATGTGCAAGATCAGTGTTTGTTGCCAAAACTTCAGGCTTGATGAGCTCCGCAGCGACATGCTTGCTGAACATCGTGAACGCAGTTGATGCCTGAAGCTCTTCACGAAACTTGCGACCACGTCCACCATCCATGCAATGGACACAAAACTTCACCAACACATCGCGATCAGTCAAATCAATGCGACTCACTGCAGCTAAAAATGCTGCACGCCATTCCCTACATGAAGTGGCATCATTTGGCAAACGAGTGATCTGGATTCCTTTCAAATGCTTGATCTTGAAAACATTTTCATCCTTTTCACCAGGAAGCAGCCACCCCCCTGATGGTGGATCTCCACCATCTGTTCTACCGCCATTTCCAACATCACCTTGGTGAGACCCAGTGCCATCTGTGGACCCTTGGCTGTTGGTTGAAGAATTCATTCGGTAGAACTTTGCACTGCTGGTTGCAACATTCTCAGGAATGGATGGTGGCCGACTAATCATTCTCCAACTTAGAGGACTGTTTCAAAAGGGGTACGCTTCAATTGAGGTCCCTAAAGATGGGAAAAATACAGATCTAAGTTAAACCTAGGCCAAACCCAACATAAACCCAAGTCACTCCCATCATTCTCCCAACATTTCCTGGTCTTGGGTATGTCAAATTGAAAGCAATTTTTTGATATTATCATGGGTTCAAGGTCATCCATTAAAGTTTCAAGTCATCCAGGGATGCCCCCATCCAGAGTAGATGACAGTAGGATGAATAGCCCAGGCACTTGCATAAATAAATTTGGTTCCATTCTATGGGAAACCCAGCAACCCTTGTTACTCATACAAAGCCCTCAGTCCAGTGGAAACCCACTTCATAATAAAACCAAATTTAAGTTGAAACAAGTGATGGGTTGCCCATTCATTCAGAGCCAAAAATGATGAAGTTCCTCATAATAAGCCCTTGCCATTGCATGTGGCCATCATTCCATGGGAAATCCATCATCCCACCCAAACAAAACAATAAACAATGAACCCATGGGAAACCATTTCATAACACCAAAATAATTTCAGACAGGTGATGAATTGCACCATCATTCCCCATTCCCCACAAACCCTTGCCATTGGATGTGGCCCCATTCCATGGGAAACCCACCAACCCATTGCAGAGTCAGCCCATGGCAAACCCATTTCATAATAAAACTTCCAAAATCCTGAGACAGGTGGTACCCTATTTCAATTTCATGTGGCCTCATGCCAAGGGAACTTCATCATCAAGCATAATGAGACCCTGGGAAACTGTAGAGGCAGGCAATGGATTGCCCTTTCAAAGTCACAAATGATGAACCCCTTCCATTGGTTTTGAGGATGGTAAAACTCACAGAAACACACTACAAGTGAAACTCATCATGCACTGCCTTGGAAATGCTAGTAATCTCAGCCACTATAGCCTGCATCCTCTCAGATGTCCATAGTTGGCACCTTTCAATCCCTAAACTTGGGAAAAATGTAAATAAAACCCTCAGTGCACCCATATTATATTAAACCTATGGTCCACCATTCACAGAAAACCCAGTGCACAAGAGACTGTTTGGCCATGATTCAAAACCTGTGGTGTCAACTAAGGTGTTTTGTTTTATCATCTTCAGTTGCAAAATCAATAACTTGTGTAGGTCTGTCATCTTTGGCCAGCAAGCCCCCATTACTGAGTGCATTGGCCACAAACATGTGTGATAATCAATCTTGCTCTGTTCACCAACCCTTGGGTGTGTAGACCTCTTCCCCATCCACAGGCAGATCTGCATTTTTTGACACCCAAGTGTGTCTCAGCAAGTTGTTTTGTCCACCTCCTTAGGTGATTTAAAAACAGTAGCAGCCTCACACCACCAGCATCATATTCCACCGCGTTTTCATGTCACATTGCCCTTCAAGACATGACCTCAGATGGCAAATGGCATGGCAATGAAAAATATACATGTTTTGCTATTATTCCAAGTGCTGTCAGACTGTTAAAATGTCACAGGCACAGCTTTCCAAAAACACACTCAAACAAAACAAGCAAAGAGTAGGAGGGGGAGTGAAGGGGTAAGGTGGTGGGGAGGGGTTGGGGGGGAAGGAAGGGGAGTGAAAGGAAGAGGGCAAAGGTTGAGCTGCATATTTACTCCCACAGCCTTTTTTTGCAACCTGCCCACAGGCAAGGGCTTGCCCAGCAAGCTAGCTGCCCCAAGGTACTATGTGTACCACCACAGCCTTTGTTTGCAACCTAGTGTTTGCCCAGCAAACTAGCTCCCCCAAGGCACTATGTGTACCACCACAGCCTTTGTTTGCAACCTGCCAACAGGCAAGGGTTTGCCCAGCAAGCTAGCTGCCCCAAGGCACTATGTGTACCACCACAGCCTTTGTTTGCAACCTGCCCACAGGCAAGGGTTTGCCCAGCAAGCTAGCTGCCCCAAGGCACTATGTGCACCACCACATCCAGGGGGGAGGGGTGTCTATCACCAACCCAACCCCCCAACCCCAATGCAGAATAGGTCTGCCCACTCACACAACTTGTGTTCTCAACACTTTTGGTAATGCTGTGACCACATTCTCTCTCAGTGCCAAGAATGTCAATGCCAAGAATCTCAATGCCAAGAATCTCAATGCCAAGAGGCCTCACACCTTAGACCCGCTGAGCTAGACAAGAAAGTCCCCCACATGGAAGCAAAGCAACTAACAGCCATTCCATTGGCTGCACTTGTTTTCCAAGCAAGTGCAAAGCTGCCACCATGGCAATCATGCTTATTGTACAATGCACAAATCAAAAGGTGCAGCATTTTTGATGCAGGTATCATTTATTATACCTGACATACTCTGGAAGGCTGTCTATGATGGGCTGGAACTGCTCCATGATGGAGTCAGGAATCTGCCCTGGCACCATTTCCCTTTTATCACCCAATGGATATTTCTTCTCTAGGTGCTTCCATTTTCTCCAATTGTGTCTGTGGACTTCAAACAGAGCATCTCGCCAGCTCCTCTTGGCAAAGAAACCTCTGCTGAAAGTCCTTTGGGAAAGCACCCCTGGAAGTTCTGGGTGGTCCTGGTGCCAATTTGAAGTGAAGGTGTGCACATTGAATGAAATCCCCATGTGACATCCTGGGGGTTCCAATCAAGGCCATGAGCTCTTCTGGGGATCTCCTCCTCTCAGCCCTTGGGCCTGCAGGCAATGCCTTTGCCTTGGCTTCAGGATTTGCCTCACCTGCCCCACCTGGCATGGCCCCTGCCTCTCCTTCAATGGCACTGGGCTCAGCCACCTCACCTCCCCCTCCCCTTGGCTCACCCTCCTCTGCCATCATTGGCTCACCTGCCCCTACCCTTGGCCCGCTCTCCTCTGCCACCATTGGCTCACCTTCCCCATCCTTTCCCTCACCTTCCTGCTCCAATGGCACACCTGCCTCACCCACCACAGCATCTTGGCCAGGCTCTGCCACCTCAACATCCATATCCATGGCACCTGGCTCACCAAAAAGATCCAACCCCCCCACCTCATCCAAAGCTTGCTCACACTCCATCCCCTTCTCTTCCTCCCTCTTCCTCATAAACCTCCTTGCTCTCTGCCTGAACTGGCACCCCAGATCACCCTTTGCCTTCCCTACTGCCTTTGCCTTGGGCTTGGCCTTGGCCTTGCCCTTGGCCTTGGCCTTACCCCTGGGCTTCCTCTTTGGAATTGGCTGATCCTTGGCATTCATCCTTCTCTTCATCTTGTAGAACTTTTTCTTCTCCTTGTACTCTTTGAGGTCCTGGAGATTGTTCTCATCCTGACCAAGTTCAGAGAGTAGTTCGGAGAAGTCTGAATCAAAAAGCTTGTCATCCTTGGTCTCAGTGGTTTGGAGGTGTGACAAAGCCTGCTCTACCAGTTGTTCTGGCACCACCAAAGCTATCAGCTTCTGCATGACAACTTTCTTGGAGGGGTTGGCAGGTAAATTATCAGCACCACCAAACATATTCAGGAGACCCTTGGCCTGCTGGAAGGTCATTGCATGGCCATGAACCAGGGCAGCAACATGCAAGGGAAGTGGTCCATCAGCAGTTCTCTGCCACCCAACAGGTCCACTGTGGCCACCAACCAAGCAGGGTTCAACTTGGAGCTCAATCCAATCCTCCAAGTCCCAGATGTGATGAAACATGATGTGGTCCCTGCCCTGGCTACAGCAGTAGAACCTGTTCACCCCAGGGGCAATCACCTTCATCCTGAGGCCCACAAAGCCAAATTCAGCTGATGCCAGGACTTTCACCAACAATCCTTCAGAGTTTTGGGCAAGGATTGAGCCAGGCCTGGCCAAGAAGGATAGCCAAGCACCATTGACATCCACCTTGTTCAGCTTGGCATCTTCATTCTCCCAGTAGTAGAACAGCCAGTGTGTGGACATTACTGACTGAAACAAAGTGCCAGCTGCAGGTGAGGGCCAAGAATGATCACCTTTCTGTGCCATCATAAGCTTCTGAAGTTCCAAGGGCAGACCTTTTCCCTTGCTCCTCATGCTTTTGACGACACTTTCTTTGTTGCTTTGCTTCCAAGTTTCTCCCAAGGCCTTTTGCACTGCATCAGCTGTAATCATGGGGACCTGTCTCTGCTCCAGGACACCTGATCTCAAACAATTTGCCATGATGGCAGTGTTTGAGATTGATTTTGCCTTGGATGCTCTGTACAGGTCCCTGCCATGTTGATGCACGTTTTCAATCACCCTTGAATCACCAAGATTTTTTGCTATCACCCTCTGCAGTCTCAAAGCAGCACTGTCAATGGACAAGAATTTGCCCTTTGCTGAATCCTGCTCATAGGACATGAAGAGGGTTCTCACAAGGGGATTGAATCGCCAAAACATGGTCTTCAAGGGCTTCACTTGCTCTCCTGCCAGTTCAGCCTCTTCTGCCTTCAGCAGCTTCTTCCAATGGGTAAGGGCTAGCTCACTAGCAGAGAGAGCAGTCTGTGGCGATGGAGCCAGCAGGTGGTTGTACAAGTTGGGAGGCAAGCAATGGAAGACTGCCAAACTTTGAGCTCTGGTTTGCAACAGCCTGTCCATCAAGTCTGTGTGCCACACCAACACCTGCTCATGGGCCTTGAACTCAGGAAACAGGTGCTGCATGTGCCTGTCATCATACAAGGATGTCGACACAATCTCAGCTAGCTCCTGCTTCCAGACACCAAGGTGAGAACAGCTGATGTTCAGCTCCAGCACATGGCTGGGGGAACAGATGTCCCTGGCCCTGGCTGCAAATAGCTCCCAAGTGCTCTTCCCCACTGACATAATGCAGTCCTTCACTGCCATGTTCTTGTGGTTGATGAGCTGTGGGGCCAATTTCCAGCTGCCTTTCCTCCTCTTGAGATCTTGCAGCTCCTTTTGGTGATCTCTGTGGCCTGTCAAAGGCTTCTCCTCCACCTCCTCTTCAGAGCCTTGGTCAGTGTGGTCCATGGCTGATTCCAAGATCATCTTGGTCATCCAAAGTTCACCACTGTAGAAGACCATGGACTCAAACCATGAAAACCACCGCATCAACTTGATGAGTGGGCCCTTGGTTGCAAATGAGTCCAATGACCGAAGGCTGTCAAAGAGGGCTTGGGAGTCATCCACACTGCTTGGTTCTGGGATCTTTTTCTCCTTGCATATAAGGTGCTGGTACTTCACCCAGATCTCATCAAAGCAGTTCTTTGTGGCACAAAAATCTTCCAGTCTAGATTTTTTTTTGAAGTGCCAAGTGGAGCTCCCAAAAGGGCCATAATTTAAATTGGCAACCAGTGTAAGCTCCAGTACAGTCCTCCAAGCACTGGACATGGAAGCCTTCAATGCACCCTTCAAATCATTCCATGCTCGGTGAAATGGATCAAAGAGTGAAAGGAACATGAGGGCATTCTTTGAGTACTGAAGATAGTTGGTGGCACCAATAATATTTGGCCCTTGGTCAGATATGGAGATCAAGCAAGGCAATGAGCCCAAGTCCATTCCAGATGGAACTTCAGGCACCAAAGCATTGGTACCCACATCCTTCCTCCAGAAGCTGCCATCTGTGGCCTCCAACCGAAACTCATTGGCAGTGAGTGGTCTGCAAAGAAGGCCACTGGGCACCTGGAAGTCTACAAGAGAAAGGCCCATGGAGGCCAAGGCTGAGCTCAGGCCCTTGATCTCCTTGAACCCTTCCAATCTCAGCAACCTCCTGCCCTTGGCAGCTGGTAGCAGGGAGGGATGGAGTTCTGACAGCATTGTTTGTGTCATGTGCTGACACATGAGGTATGCTGCTTTATCCAAGAAAGGATCATACATGATGGCCATCATGATGTCCTTTCCTCCATAAGATGATGGATCCCATGAACAGGACAACTGCTTACACCCTGAGCAGCCATTCTGCAAGGCTTTCAAATGAAGCAAGCAATCCATGTAGTTCTCAAAGACTATCATCCTGTTGCTTGCCCCACCAAGCTCTTCATGGGTGGAAGCAATCCTCCTTCTGTGTTGCTTCTCTTTTTTCAATTTCAGCAGGAGAAGCACCCTGTTGACAGGATCTGCAATTTTCCTGATAAAGCCAGCTTTGGTTTTCAATGTTGGAAGCATTTTCAAAGCTTCCCTGCTGGCTTCATGGGCTGCTTGTGTCAGGGCATCACCTGTCCTCTGCACAAGTTCCATGAGCAAGTGGATGCCCAAGCACAGCCATATGTTTTGCCCAAGGGATTTCAACTTGGGATGGCAGTAGAGGTACACCAAGAAGAACCAGAGGTCCAGGAAAGAAGGTGATTCAGATGAGGAAGCTATGCATCTGTTGAGCCAACATCTGGAGGTGAGCTTTGTCCATAAGGCTGCAGCTCCAGGGCACAGCCTGATGAACTCACCAAATGTGTGGCACAAACCTTGTGCTGAGAAGTACAATTCTCTGGCCACCATTGTACCACTCTTCTGGGTGACCAAAGCCATGAAAGGGGCTGACACATCCATCAATTGGAAAGCTTTTTCAGCCAACCCCAGGACCAACTTCAAGGCTTTCACCTTGCTGTGTGCCTTCAAAGCCCTGCTCCTCAGCAGAGTAAGCAGCACAACAAAAAAAGCACTGCTTTCAAAAGTGTGGTCCTTCCACTGGCTGCCACCTTCCTCTTCAATGCCATTGCCACCACTCTCTATGCCCCTGTAGTGGAACTGACCTTGGGGCACTTGAAATTTGAGCATCTCCCCTTCAATGGTGCCCCTGTTGTTTCTCAAGTACCTTCCTGGACCAGTCCCAATTTGGCAAAAGGCATGGGCCCTGCTGAAGAGCCATTCTGCAGCTCCATCAGCAGTCATGTAGGCCCTTTGCTCCAAGTCTGTGAGGGTGGCAACTGGGAATGGCAGCTGCAAAGTCTCAGGGCTTTGGTGAGGGTGTCAGGCACCTGATCATCCTCTCCTGGCACCAACTGCATAGGGTGCTCCTCATTTGCCATGGCTCAAGCTACCAAGGCTCCAACTACCAAAAGTGAGTGCCTATCAGATAGGCATTGCTTGGCTCATAACCTACCTTATGGGGTCAAAAACTTCTTAGGTTTAGCTGTCTGGTTGCTGTTGCTGGGAGGGTGTTCCTGGTCCTGGTTTGCTGGTCAAGGTTCTTGGAGCCCTGCCAAGCCAAGATGCAAAATTGCCATTGCTGTTGGTCACACTGAGGTCTCATGCATTGCCATCCTACAAAGAAAGCATGGTACACATGCCAAAGTGCACACAGCCTGACCACAGTTCAAACCTACTTCAACTGCCACCTGAATGGCTGCCTCTCTGTCTCTGGTGCTGATGCAATGCTATGGGCATGATTTTTGCCAAGGAACTGCCCTCACCTGGTATGATGAAGGAAATCACCATGGATGCCATCCCTGGTGCAAATGCAAACCTTACTGTCCAAAGCACCACCTGCTTCAAGAGCTTGGAGGAGATGCCCACCTGATCTTCCAAGATGTTTGAACATGGCGACTTTGCAGTACCTCAGCCCCACATATCATCAAGGCAACAGGCTGCACCATGCAGGAACCCTTGGCAACTTGGAAAGTACCACATTGGAAACCACCCCCCCATTCATACTACATTTAAAAAATATGTGGACAAGCTACCTGTCACATCTCAAACATGTACTGCATGGGATCTTCAGGTGGTGGAATGGGTGCTCCAGTTTCCAAAGAGGGGCTCTGGTATGGTCATCAACATCACAGCACCCCAGTGGCATAAATGCTGTCTTTGGCAAACAGAAGCACTCAATTGAAGGGCCATTCTTCATATAGACTGGGGGGGCTGGGAGTGCTTTGAGCTGACTGACCCAAAGGTGTTTGCAAAAGGACCAGAGCACATTGTCAGGGGAAATGACATGCCCCTCCCCCACTGCCATCACCTTGCAAAGGTCCTGGATGATGGCCCTGCAGGATCTTCCAGCCCCCCTTGCCTGGCCAAAGAATTGCAACACTTTGGCACTGTCCTCCTTCATCTTCACACTGGAGTAGATGAAATTCTGGATCTTGGTTCTCTCATGAGGGGTGGCATCACTGTTCCTCATCCTGCTGGCCACCTGAGCAGTGTCAAATGTATCCCTGATTGGTTGGCAGAGGGTAAGCTAAATTTTAAAAGTCCAACACTTGTACAATAGAACCATTATCATTTATATTTAAACCATATAGTTACTCATAACCAAAGAATCTGTCACCATGTGCTACCCACATTTTGACATAGCTCACCTCAATCTTCAGGAATATGTCAGCTTGGTTGTCAGCCTCAAGGATTGTAAACCCCATGGTTCTCAACCAGGGTGGGCAGTTGTCATTCTCATTGGTGGGCTCTCCCATGGGTTCATCACCTGCTGCACCACCCCTGCCATCCTGGTCCTGCCACTCCTGCCACCCAAGCTGTCTCCAACTGCCTTTGCTGCCATGTGGGTCTGCAGAGCCAGCTGAGTTGCTCCTGGGCTAGGTGGCTGAGGAATGTGAATTAAGGACAAAGGGCAACACCCATGCAAACCCATCAGCAGTGACCATATTATATCAAAATCATTTTAAATACCATATATAGTATGGCCCAGTAGTATTCCACAGCTTTTATTGTATAACCTGGATAGCCACCAGAATATCAATAACCATCAGGTCAGGGCAAGTGACCAAGCAGCATATGACCTGTCATGGCCATCATTATATCCAGATGACCTTGGTGTGGCAAGCCACACATCATTGTATGCCCCAGCAAGGTGGTGTAAGTCAAGTGGATGAATTAGGGCAAGGCAAACAAATTTAACATCTTATTGAAGGGTTTTAATAGCATAGATTCAATAATAGGAAGGTGCAGCAACATAAAATAAAAGATGCTGAAAGAAATAGAGATCATGGCTGAACTGATGGGGCATGTAGCATCACAGATTTCAAGAATAAGAGCCTTTGTAATACTTGATGGTTGCCATGCCCATTGATCATTGAACTACCCATGCCACCATCACACATCTGATGGCTTTGCCAGCCAAGCCACCAACCACTGCCACCCTGGTAGCCATGCCACTGGTTCCTTGGCCAGGCTGTCACATGGCAAGGTTGTGTGCAGGTGTTTTCAATAATGGGACCCAAGTGGTACCAATATCTTTTTACCCCTGCCCCATTCATATATGTCATGTCCTTGCACTTTCCAGCTGAGCATCCAGTTTCCTTTGCCACCCTGCCAATGGCCATCATCCCATCCAGCCATCACTCTGCCTCAGTGACAAGTGGTTCCCCATTTTGCACCCAGCTTTTTTGTTACTGTGGCATTATGTTTTCAAAACAATTGGGTTCCCATGCCAATCCCATCAAAAACTTTGGTTACTCCCAGATTCTGGTCAGCCCTCCCAGGCCATTCGCATATCCCTCCCAACAAAAACCTAGGCCACTCCCAACCAAAACCCAGGTCACTCCCAACAAAAACCCAGGTCACTCCCAGATTCTGGTCAGCCCCCAGGTCATTCCCAGGTCACCCCCAACAAAAACCCAAGTCACCCCCAACCAAAACCCAGGTCACTCCCAACAAAAACCCAGGTCACTCCCAGATTCTGGGATTGCCCCTGGGTGGCTGAAGTTGAACTTTTGGATGTTAAGTCTACTTAAACAGAATGCTGCCCTTTTTTTTGTTTTGCTCACTGTTCCCCATCTTTAATGTATGTTTTTCATTTTATTGCCAGATTACCTAACAACAGTCACACTTTCAACTAGGGTATTTTGTACACAATACTGACATATTTGCATTTGTTCCCCTTCCTCCTGGTATTGCTATTGGCATCAAATATGAATAGTATCTTAGAGTTGCCTACAAACCTAAACTAATTATGTTGTTTGTTTGCATAGGTCAGGTATTTCTGTTATACTAAGTTGCTACCTCACTAGGTTTTGGCTACTAAAAGTCAGCCACTCTGCTACCCCACTGCATTATTCAACCATAATTTGCTGGATGTCATCAATCATGGCCCATTGCTAAATAGCTACAAAACAAGATATAGCATCACTACATACCATTTGATCACCCAAATCTAGTACTGGTGTTGCTTGTTTATTTACTTTCTTACCAGCCATTTGGATGCCACAACTTTGTTGGAGTGTTCAGGGTGTATAGCCCTTTGCCTTATAAATACTTATGAGGAAAATGATAATGATGATGATAACCATAATAATAAGAATGTGGAACCAGTGCATTCAATTCATTTTTGAATTACTATTTGAATTATATATGTTGGTTCAATTATTGAGAGCCCTCCCCCACTCACTGGTGTGGCTGCCACCAAGATGCACAACAGAAGGCACTGGTGCTGCAGCCAACCAAACTTCACACTTGAGCTGCACACACCACTGCCACCCCCAGCATAAAACCATCACATGGCATGAGCTGTGCACTTCTTTATTTACCTGTGTGTGGTGCTGAAACACATCATGCTGTAAAAATTGATACTTTTGTTGCCACAAGCTTGGCCCATCATGCCATGTTTATCAAAACTCATTTCATCATGGCATGTCATGCCAACTTTGGGGTCTGATGGGACCTTATGATAATGGGACCTTATGATATGGTTTTACTTGTTAGTATTGATGCCATTTTGGGGCCACTGCAAAACACACACCCCTTGAATCAACTACACCACATTACATTGACTGGTGCCATCTTAAGCCCCTTGAACCACACCATGAATTGTCAGGGTGAATGGGCCCTTAGGTTTTGATTGATTCCACTTTGGGGTCATTGTATTAAATTGGGTATGGCCCCCATGATGTGTCATGGACTTACATTGGTGCCCTGACTATTTTCTTTTGCATACCCTGCTACTTGACTTACCATCTATTACATCAACATTACCCCACACTTAGCCTAAGAAACCACACCAGCCCTTGGCCAGCCCAGCCAGCAGCACTTTCCCAGCCACCACAAGGTGCCAGGGTTGAAGTAGAGCACCAAATTGTCACAAGATGACCAGGTGCAGGTCAACCAAAAGTGGGATTGAAGGAGCAGGTGCACCCCATAATCATGAGGGCAAAAACAGTCATTGATACAACTATATTTTGGTTTACTTTCTTGATAGCACAGATGTCAACAATAAATACATGACATCATGACATATCAAACCAAGCCACATAAATTGAGTAACTTTGCTGCTGATGGCTCTGCTCACCTGGGCCACCTGCCCCTTAAGCCAGGACTGAACAAACTTCAAAAGCTTTAGTGCCCACCCTAAATAGACTTCAGTCCCCAGACCTAGTTTGGATACTGAATAAAAGGCCAAGTTAACAGGTGCTAAGTCTGGAAATGAACTTTTACTAAATTGATATGCAGTTGTTGTGTTTGAAGTGGTCATACATTCCATGGACCAGGGGGCTCAGTAAGTCTGGCAGTTTGGGCCCAAGCTGTACTGGCAACAAGAATTCAGGTCACATCGGGTCTGTCCAAGCTCACACCATGCCATGCCTCACCATCCTTAAATCATCAGTTGTTCTGGCACCACCAAAGCTATCAGCTTCTGCATGACAACTTTCTTGGAGGGGTTGGCAGGTAAATTATCAGCACCACCAAACATATTCAGGAGACCCTTGGCCTGCTGGAAGGTCATTGCATGGCCATGAACCAGGGCAGCAACATGCAAGGGAAGTGGTCCATCAGCAGTTCTCTGCCACCCAACAGGTCCACTGTGGCCACCAACCAAGCAGGGTTCAACTTGGAGCTCAATCCAATCCTCCAAGTCCCAGATGTGATGAAACATGATGTGGTCCCTGCCCTGGCTACAGCAGTAGAACCTGTTCACCCCAGGGGCAATCACCTTCATCCTGAGGCCCACAAAGCCAAATTCAGCTGATGCCAGGACTTTCACCAACAATCCTTCAGAGTTTTGGGCAAGGATTGAGCCAGGCCTGGCCAAGAAGGATAGCCAAGCACCATTGACATCCACCTTGTTCAGCTTGGCATCTTCATTCTCCCAGTAGTAGAACAGCCAGTGTGTGGACATTACTGACTGAAACAAAGTGCCAGCTGCAGGTGAGGGCCAAGAATGATCACCTTTCTGTGCCATCATAAGCTTCTGAAGTTCCAAGGGCAGACCTTTTCCCTTGCTCCTCATGCTTTTGACGACACTTTCTTTGTTGCTTTGCTTCCAAGTTTCTCCCAAGGCCTTTTGCACTGCATCAGCTGTAATCATGGGGACCTGTCTCTGCTCCAGGACACCTGATCTCAAACAATTTGCCATGATGGCAGTGTTTGAGATTGATTTTGCCTTGGATGCTCTGTACAGGTCCCTGCCATGTTGATGCACGTTTTCAATCACCCTTGAATCACCAAGATTTTTTGCTATCACCCTCTGCAGTCTCAAAGCAGCACTGTCAATGGACAAGAATTTGCCCTTTGCTGAATCCTGCTCATAGGACATGAAGAGGGTTCTCACAAGGGGATTGAATCGCCAAAACATGGTCTTCAAGGGCTTCACTTGCTCTCCTGCCAGTTCAGCCTCTTCTGCCTTCAGCAGCTTCTTCCAATGGGTAAGGGCTAGCTCACTAGCAGAGAGAGCAGTCTGTGGCGATGGAGCCAGCAGGTGGTTGTACAAGTTGGGAGGCAAGCAATGGAAGACTGCCAAACTTTGAGCTCTGGTTTGCAACAGCCTGTCCATCAAGTCTGTGTGCCACACCAACACCTGCTCATGGGCCTTGAACTCAGGAAACAGGTGCTGCATGTGCCTGTCATCATACAAGGATGTCGACACAATCTCAGCTAGCTCCTGCTTCCAGACACCAAGGTGAGAACAGCTGATGTTCAGCTCCAGCACATGGCTGGGGGAACAGATGTCCCTGGCCCTGGCTGCAAATAGCTCCCAAGTGCTCTTCCCCACTGACATAATGCAGTCCTTCACTGCCATGTTCTTGTGGTTGATGAGCTGTGGGGCCAATTTCCAGCTGCCTTTCCTCCTCTTGAGATCTTGCAGCTCCTTTTGGTGATCTCTGTGGCCTGTCAAAGGCTTCTCCTCCACCTCCTCTTCAGAGCCTTGGTCAGTGTGGTCCATGGCTGATTCCAAGATCATCTTGGTCATCCAAAGTTCACCACTGTAGAAGACCATGGACTCAAACCATGAAAACCACCGCATCAACTTGATGAGTGGGCCCTTGGTTGCAAATGAGTCCAATGACCGAAGGCTGTCAAAGAGGGCTTGGGAGTCATCCACACTGCTTGGTTCTGGGATCTTTTTCTCCTTGCATATAAGGTGCTGGTACTTCACCCAGATCTCATCAAAGCAGTTCTTTGTGGCACAAAAATCTTCCAGTCTAGATTTTTTTTTGAAGTGCCAAGTGGAGCTCCCAAAAGGGCCATAATTTAAATTGGCAACCAGTGTAAGCTCCAGTACAGTCCTCCAAGCACTGGACATGGAAGCCTTCAATGCACCCTTCAAATCATTCCATGCTCGGTGAAATGGATCAAAGAGTGAAAGGAACATGAGGGCATTCTTTGAGTACTGAAGATAGTTGGTGGCACCAATAATATTTGGCCCTTGGTCAGATATGGAGATCAAGCAAGGCAATGAGCCCAAGTCCATTCCAGATGGAACTTCAGGCACCAAAGCATTGGTACCCACATCCTTCCTCCAGAAGCTGCCATCTGTGGCCTCCAACCGAAACTCATTGGCAGTGAGTGGTCTGCAAAGAAGGCCACTGGGCACCTGGAAGTCTACAAGAGAAAGGCCCATGGAGGCCAAGGCTGAGCTCAGGCCCTTGATCTCCTTGAACCCTTCCAATCTCAGCAACCTCCTGCCCTTGGCAGCTGGTAGCAGGGAGGGATGGAGTTCTGACAGCATTGTTTGTGTCATGTGCTGACACATGAGGTATGCTGCTTTATCCAAGAAAGGATCATACATGATGGCCATCATGATGTCCTTTCCTCCATAAGATGATGGATCCCATGAACAGGACAACTGCTTACACCCTGAGCAGCCATTCTGCAAGGCTTTCAAATGAAGCAAGCAATCCATGTAGTTCTCAAAGACTATCATCCTGTTGCTTGCCCCACCAAGCTCTTCATGGGTGGAAGCAATCCTCCTTCTGTGTTGCTTCTCTTTTTTCAATTTCAGCAGGAGAAGCACCCTGTTGACAGGATCTGCAATTTTCCTGATAAAGCCAGCTTTGGTTTTCAATGTTGGAAGCATTTTCAAAGCTTCCCTGCTGGCTTCATGGGCTGCTTGTGTCAGGGCATCACCTGTCCTCTGCACAAGTTCCATGAGCAAGTGGATGCCCAAGCACAGCCATATGTTTTGCCCAAGGGATTTCAACTTGGGATGGCAGTAGAGGTACACCAAGAAGAACCAGAGGTCCAGGAAAGAAGGTGATTCAGATGAGGAAGCTATGCATCTGTTGAGCCAACATCTGGAGGTGAGCTTTGTCCATAAGGCTGCAGCTCCAGGGCACAGCCTGATGAACTCACCAAATGTGTGGCACAAACCTTGTGCTGAGAAGTACAATTCTCTGGCCACCATTGTACCACTCTTCTGGGTGACCAAAGCCATGAAAGGGGCTGACACATCCATCAATTGGAAAGCTTTTTCAGCCAACCCCAGGACCAACTTCAAGGCTTTCACCTTGCTGTGTGCCTTCAAAGCCCTGCTCCTCAGCAGAGTAAGCAGCACAACAAAAAAAGCACTGCTTTCAAAAGTGTGGTCCTTCCACTGGCTGCCACCTTCCTCTTCAATGCCATTGCCACCACTCTCTATGCCCCTGTAGTGGAACTGACCTTGGGGCACTTGAAATTTGAGCATCTCCCCTTCAATGGTGCCCCTGTTGTTTCTCAAGTACCTTCCTGGACCAGTCCCAATTTGGCAAAAGGCATGGGCCCTGCTGAAGAGCCATTCTGCAGCTCCATCAGCAGTCATGTAGGCCCTTTGCTCCAAGTCTGTGAGGGTGGCAACTGGGAATGGCAGCTGCAAAGTCTCAGGGCTTTGGTGAGGGTGTCAGGCACCTGATCATCCTCTCCTGGCACCAACTGCATAGGGTGCTCCTCATTTGCCATGGCTCAAGCTACCAAGGCTCCAACTACCAAAAGTGAGTGCCTATCAGATAGGCATTGCTTGGCTCATAACCTACCTTATGGGGTCAAAAACTTCTTAGGTTTAGCTGTCTGGTTGCTGTTGCTGGGAGGGTGTTCCTGGTCCTGGTTTGCTGGTCAAGGTTCTTGGAGCCCTGCCAAGCCAAGATGCAAAATTGCCATTGCTGTTGGTCACACTGAGGTCTCATGCATTGCCATCCTACAAAGAAAGCATGGTACACATGCCAAAGTGCACACAGCCTGACCACAGTTCAAACCTACTTCAACTGCCACCTGAATGGCTGCCTCTCTGTCTCTGGTGCTGATGCAATGCTATGGGCATGATTTTTGCCAAGGAACTGCCCTCACCTGGTATGATGAAGGAAATCACCATGGATGCCATCCCTGGTGCAAATGCAAACCTTACTGTCCAAAGCACCACCTGCTTCAAGAGCTTGGAGGAGATGCCCACCTGATCTTCCAAGATGTTTGAACATGGCGACTTTGCAGTACCTCAGCCCCACATATCATCAAGGCAACAGGCTGCACCATGCAGGAACCCTTGGCAACTTGGAAAGTACCACATTGGAAACCACCCCCCCATTCATACTACATTTAAAAAATATGTGGACAAGCTACCTGTCACATCTCAAACATGTACTGCATGGGATCTTCAGGTGGTGGAATGGGTGCTCCAGTTTCCAAAGAGGGGCTCTGGTATGGTCATCAACATCACAGCACCCCAGTGGCATAAATGCTGTCTTTGGCAAACAGAAGCACTCAATTGAAGGGCCATTCTTCATATAGACTGGGGGGGCTGGGAGTGCTTTGAGCTGACTGACCCAAAGGTGTTTGCAAAAGGACCAGCGCACATTGTCAGGGGAAATGACATGCCCCTCCCCCACTGCCATCACCTTGCAAAGGTCCTGGATGATGGCCTTGCAGGATCTTCCAGCCCCCCTTGCCTGGCCAAAGAATTGCAACACTTTGGCACTGTCCTCCTTCATCTTCACACTGGAGTAGATGAAATTCTGGATCTTGGTTCTCTCATGAGGGGTGGCATCACTGTTCCTCATCCTGCTGGCCACCTGAGCAGTGTCAAATGTATCCCTGATTGGTTGGCAGAGGGTAAGCTAAATTTTAAAAGTCCAACACTTGTACAATAGAACCATTATCATTTATATTTAAACCATATAGTTACTCATAACCAAAGAATCTGTCACCATGTGCTACCCACATTTTGACATAGCTCACCTCAATCTTCAGGAATATGTCAGCTTGGTTGTCAGCCTCAAGGATTGTAAACCCCATGGTTCTCAACCAGGGTGGGCAGTTGTCATTCTCATTGGTGGGCTCTCCCATGGGTTCATCACCTGCTGCACCACCCCTGCCATCCTGGTCCTGCCACTCCTGCCACCCAAGCTGTCTCCAACTGCCTTTGCTGCCATGTGGGTCTGCAGAGCCAGCTGAGTTGCTCCTGGGCTAGGTGGCTGAGGAATGTGAATTAAGGACAAAGGGCAACACCCATGCAAACCCATCAGCAGTGACCATATTATATCAAAATCATTTTAAATACCATATATAGTATGGCCCAGTAGTATTCCACAGCTTTTATTGTATAACCTGGATAGCCACCAGAATATCAATAACCATCAGGTCAGGGCAAGTGACCAAGCAGCATATGACCTGTCATGGCCATCATTATATCCAGATGACCTTGGTGTGGCAAGCCACACATCATTGTATGCCCCAGCAAGGTGGTGTAAGTCAAGTGGATGAATTAGGGCAAGGCAAACAAATTTAACATCTTATTGAAGGGCTTTAATAGCATAGATTCAATAATAGGAAGGTGCAGCAACATAAAATAAAAGATGCTGAAAGAAATAGAGATCATGGCTGAACTGATGGGGCATGTAGCATCACAGATTTCAAGAATAAGAGCCTTTGTAATACTTGATGGTTGCCATGCCCATTGATCATTGAACTACCCATGCCACCATCACACATCTGATGGCTTTGCCAGCCAAGCCACCAACCACTGCCACCCTGGTAGCCATGCCACTGGTTCCTTGGCCAGGCTGTCACATGGCAAGGTTGTGTGCAGGTGTTTTCAATAATGGGACCCAAGTGGTACCAATATCTTTTTACCCCTGCCCCATTCATATATGTCATGTCCTTGCACTTTCCAGCTGAGCATCCAGTTTCCTTTGCCACCCTGCCAATGGCCATCATCCCATCCAGCCATCACTCTGCCTCAGTGACAAGTGGTTCCCCATTTTGCACCCAGCTTTTTTGTTACTGTGGCATTATGTTTTCAAAACAATTGGGTTCCCATGCCAATCCCATCAAAAACTTTGGTTACTCCCAGATTCTGGTCAGCCCTCCCAGGCCATTCGCATATCCCTCCCAACAAAAACCTAGGCCACTCCCAACCAAAACCCAGGTCACTCCCAACAAAAACCCAGGTCACTCCCAGATTCTGGTCAGCCCCCAGGTCATTCCCAGGTCACCCCCAACAAAAACCCAAGTCACCCCCAACCAAAACCCAGGTCACTCCCAACAAAAACCCAGGTCACTCCCAGATTCTGGGATTGCCCCTGGGTGGCTGAAGTTGAACTTTTGGATGTTAAGTCTACTTAAACAGAATGCTGCCCTTTTTTTTGTTTTGCTCACTGTTCCCCATCTTTAATGTATGTTTTTCATTTTATTGCCAGATTACCTAACAACAGTCACACTTTCAACTAGGGTATTTTGTACACAATACTGACATATTTGCATTTGTTCCCCTTCCTCCTGGTATTGCTATTGGCATCAAATATGAATAGTATCTTAGAGTTGCCTACAAACCTAAACTAATTATGTTGTTTGTTTGCATAGGTCAGGTATTTCTGTTATACTAAGTTGCTACCTCACTAGGTTTTGGCTACTAAAAGTCAGCCACTCTGCTACCCCACTGCATTATTCAACCATAATTTGCTGGATGTCATCAATCATGGCCCATTGCTAAATAGCTACAAAACAAGATATAGCATCACTACATACCATTTGATCACCCAAATCTAGTACTGGTGTTGCTTGTTTATTTACTTTCTTACCAGCCATTTGGATGCCACAACTTTGTTGGAGTGTTCAGGGTGTATAGCCCTTTGCCTTATAAATACTTATGAGGAAAATGATAATGATGATGATAACCATAATAATAAGAATGTGGAACCAGTGCATTCAATTCATTTTTGAATTACTATTTGAATTATATATGTTGGTTCAATTATTGAGAGCCCTCCCCCACTCACTGGTGTGGCTGCCACCAAGATGCACAACAGAAGGCACTGGTGCTGCAGCCAACCAAACTTCACACTTGAGCTGCACACACCACTGCCACCCCCAGCATAAAACCATCACATGGCATGAGCTGTGCACTTCTTTATTTACCTGTGTGTGGTGCTGAAACACATCATGCTGTAAAAATTGATACTTTTGTTGCCACAAGCTTGGCCCATCATGCCATGTTTATCAAAACTCATTTCATCATGGCATGTCATGCCAACTTTGGGGTCTGATGGGACCTTATGATAATGGGACCTTATGATATGGTTTTACTTGTTAGTATTGATGCCATTTTGGGGCCACTGCAAAACACACACCCCTTGAATCAACTACACCACATTACATTGACTGGTGCCATCTTAAGCCCCTTGAACCACACCATGAATTGTCAGGGTGAATGGGCCCTTAGGTTTTGATTGATTCCACTTTGGGGTCATTGTATTAAATTGGGTATGGCCCCCATGATGTGTCATGGACTTACATTGGTGCCCTGACTATTTTCTTTTGCATACCCTGCTACTTGACTTACCATCTATTACATCAACATTACCCCACACTTAGCCTAAGAAACCACACCAGCCCTTGGCCAGCCCAGCCAGCAGCACTTTCCCAGCCACCACAAGGTGCCAGGGTTGAAGTAGAGCACCAAATTGTCACAAGATGACCAGGTGCAGGTCAACCAAAAGTGGGATTGAAGGAGCAGGTGCACCCCATAATCATGAGGGCAAAAACAGTCATTGATACAACTATATTTTGGTTTACTTTCTTGATAGCACAGATGTCAACAATAAATACATGACATCATGACATATCAAACCAAGCCACATAAATTGAGTAACTTTGCTGCTGATGGCTCTGCTCACCTGGGCCACCTGCCCCTTAAGCCAGGACTGAACAAACTTCAAAAGCTTTAGTGCCCACCCTAAATAGACTTCAGTCCCCAGACCTAGTTTGGATACTGAATAAAAGGCCAAGTTAACAGGTGCTAAGTCTGGAAATGAACTTTTACTAAATTGATATGCAGTTGTTGTGTTTGAAGTGGTCATACATTCCATGGACCAGGGGGCTCAGTAAGTCTGGCAGTTTGGGCCCAAGCTGTACTGGCAACAAGAATTCAGGTCACATCGGGTCTGTCCAAGCTCACACCATGCCATGCCTCACCATCCTTAAATCATCACCCACCCTGGCTTCCCAAGCCAGTTCATAGCCACAGTCATAAGCCATCAGAATCAGGAAGTTGCCTTGCCCTTGGCCACATCCTGCTTCTGGGCCACATCCTTGCCCTGAGCCACCTCCTTGGCAACCAGTGGGTAAAAAAAGAAATTACCAAGTTTTAAGGACAGCTTGAAACATTATACTTGTCAAAATGGTGGGATTCTATGACCATGTCATGGGATCTCATCACAGGGTAAGTATGGATCACCAATAGCCATTTTTTGGGACTATAAGCACAAATTGGCCACCATTCACTCCAAATGTAACACTTATATTATACTATGGTCACTAAGACTAGGGCATATGGGGAACAAATTGGCCACCATCCACTCCAAATGTCACACTTAGATTGTACTATGGTCACTAAGACTAGGGCATATGGGGAACAAATTGGCCACCATCCACTCCAAATGTCACACTTAGATTGTACTATGGTACTAAGACTAGGGCATATGGGGAACAAATTGGCCACCATCCACTCCAAATGTCACACTTAGATTGTACTATGGTACTAAGACTAGGGCATATGGGGTTGCCCATGTGCAGGAAGCAATGGTTCAATGGGTTTCCAGCTCAGCCCTCTTAGTGCCCAAACCAAGCTAACTACTTTCTTCCCAACCAATTCCCAATGATGAGACAGTGCAATAACTATTCAATAGGTAGGTAATTTAGATACACCAGCTTGCACAAATATATTATGACACTCTGCCTGCTAACCAGGTCCCTCCCAATGATTGATTAAAATGGCAAGGTGAACAAACACACCTTCAGAACCCCAGAAGCTTTGCATTCATTCCTCCTGCTCTTTGCAGCCTGGAGTGCAGCTTCTCCAAACTGGGCTCCTTAGGGGCCCAACAGCATGGCTACCTCTTTACTTATTTGCAAAAAGTGACAGGGAAATAAATAAAGGGAAAGCATCACCATTCACAACTATGGCATGGCATGACATGCACTAATAACTAATCCAGAAGTCACCCACCCACACATCCCAAGCCAAAGCTCTCACTTCCTCAGCTGTTTCTGTATCTTCAACCTCCACCACTGGCACTGCTGGTTTGGCAGCAGCTGGCTCTTCTATGTGTTGTGTCAAGTCTTGCACTTCATTATTTTTCAGGCCATTGTCCACCTGTACCTTTGCTGCCTCAGATGGTTTGTTTTGTTGCTTCAGTTGTGCCTCTGCTGCTTTGCTCTTCTTTGCCTCTTGTGTTGCCTTTGCTTCTTCTTCTTGTTGCTTCTGCTTCTGTGCATCCAACTGCTGTTGCAACTCTGCTGCTTTTGCCTGCTCTGCCTCCAGTGCTGCCTTTGCTTCTTCTTCTTGTTGCTTCTGTTTCTGTGCATCCAACTGCTTTTGCAACTCTGCTGCTTTTGCCTGCTCTGCCTCCAGTGCTGCCTTTGCTTCTTCTTCTTGTTGCTTCTGCTTCTGTGCATCCAACTGCTTTTGCAACTCTGCTGCTTTTGCCTGCTCTGCCTCCAGTGCTGCCTTTGCTTCTTCTTGTTGCTTCTGTTTCTGTGCATCCAGCTGCTTTTGCAACTCTTCTGCTTTTGCCTGCTCTGCCACTAGTGCTGCCTTTGCTGCTTCTGCTTCTGCATCTTTATTGGCATCCAGGTGCTTTTGCTTCTCTGCTGCTTCTGCCTGCTTTGCTGCTTCTTCTTGTTGTTGCTTCTGCTTCTGTGCATCCAACTGCTGTTGCAACTCTGCTGCTTTTGCCTGCTCTGCCTCCAGTGCTGCCTTTGCTTCTTCTTCTTGCTGCTTCTGTTTCTGTGCATCCAATTGCTTTTGCAACTCTGCTGCTTTTGCCTGTTCTGCTTCCAGTGCTGCCTTTGCTTCTTCTTCTTGTTGCTTCTGCTTCTGTGCATCCAACTGCTGTTGCAACTCTGCTGCTTTTGCTTGCTCTGCCTCCAGTGCTGCCTGCTGGTCCTGATGTAGTTGCTTTGCTCTGGCATCTTCTTCCAGCTTCTGCTGCAATGCCACTCCTTGCTGGTGCTTCTGGTAGGCCTCTAGTTGCTGTTGCAATTCTGCTGTTCTTGCCCTCTCTGCTTCTAGTGCAGCCTGTTGAGCCTTTGCTTCTTCCTGTGCTTTCTGTGCTTCCAATTGCTTTTGCAGCTGTGCTACCTTTGCTTTCTGGGCATCCAGCTCTTTCATTTGCATTTCTGGTTGTGGTTGTGTGGTAGCTAGCTTCTGCTTCAACTGCTGTTCCAAGTGTGCATTGTGTTGCTTCAATTCACCTAGCTTGTTTGCACCTGGCTGCCCCTGGACCTGCATCACATCCTTGATCCCAAGCTGCTTCTCTCTACCCCAAGTGGCTCCAGAGTAGATGGTGTCAGGCATGGATGAAGCCTAGCAGCATTCACTGGTTACCAGCCAAAACAGCATAAAGACAGAAAAGGAATGGGTCATCTCTTAAATCCAGCCTCTCCCATGATGATGTGGCAGATGGGTTGTTTGTTGAGGACCCATTTTTAAAGTCAGATCATAATAATATAGCCAAAATATTCTACAAATGATAAATGCCACTCAGCCACCCAGGGGTGCCTATGTGAAGTCAGCTGGGCAAGAAAACAAACAAGTTAAAATATTCACCACTACAACTCTCAGATTTCCACCAGCCCCTATTAGTTTTGAGTGTGCCAACTGCCAGCATACCATTTTAAATCACATGGTACCCTGCCATCACAATCATCCACCCAGACTGCACCCAAACCAGACATGACCAGCTTTGCAAACAAGGCACTTGGCCAGGGGATGCGCCCAAGACCAGGGTTGTAGCATCCACAGTGCTGTCATAGATGCTGGATGCCTTGGAATGCCAATGGATGGCTGGGTTGTGGTGTAGAACATTTGGGGACCTAGGGGCCAGTGAAGGAGCAGCATGCTACCACACAGCACTGCAAACAAAAATAAGTACACATAAACTTCAATGATGATGCAAAGCAAACAAACAAACCTCAGTTCATTGTAGTCATTGTTGCCACTGGCTGTCACAGGCCTTGGGTTAATGACCAGCTGGGCTACCTGGAGCCAACTGATAATTATATGCACCAACACTTATCAACTAAAATTAAGCAACTATGCAATCCTGTCAAGGCCACCATTGCCACTGTCACCAATCATTCATTATATGGTACTTGAGCATCATTTTGACCAAACCACCCAGTCATTCTACACTGTTGAAGCAGTCTTCTCCCAATCTGGCATCACAGAGCATTACCCACCATTACCTTTCAGCATACCTTTCAGCAACCCACACATCCTTCCAGCCTGCCTGAGAAGCAGAAGTTAAAGATGGGGCTCTCACAGATCCAGGAGTTGCTGTGCTGGCCATGGCACCTGCAGGATCAGCTTGCTAATCACTTATGGCTAAATTCACATTCAGCAATTGAAAGGTAGTGTTCAATGGGGCACCATTGCTTTGGAGTTCAACAGCACCCTTGTGGAACACAAATGTTGGAATGAATGAATGGTGTTGTGATGGCTTGCAACTAGTGGCACACAAGTGAAGCACATCCCAACCTAGCCTTCCTTCAGTGGCAATGGCCTTTGCTTCAGCAAGTTCTGGAATTGTTTGGCTTGCCAGTGGTCTGCATGTAGTCCTCAGCTTGTCATGCAAATGGGATGGGGAAATGCCAATGCCACCCAAATAGATGTTTCAGATACCCACTAATTGAACTTGTGCAAAATGAAGCATTCACTCAGTGGTGGGTGACTTGCACCAAAAAAGAATAGTACTACTAATAATAATAATACTTAATATTTTTACTACTATTATTATTAATATTATATATATATGCCTGTCACCTGTTTAATGGGGCTGTGTGACCCTTGTAAATAAATGCATGGTGGGTATCAATTGGGCATGCCCCCCCTCCAGCAAATGGCCAAGTGGCCAAGGGTCTTGTCCACATAATTCTTGGCCCAGAAAGCTTGGCCCATCAGCTCCACAGCCACTTCAGCCTCAGAGGCCACAACATGTCTGTGTGACAGCTGGGTTGGAATTGCAAATTGCCACCAATATTACCTTGCTTTGACAACCCTTGGGCCATGAAGAACAGCACACTGCTCTTCATGGTTTGCTAAGAGAGATTAATTTAGATGTCTAAATGGTATATTGGCTACTATTTCACCATCCTCACCATATCCAACTTATAATAAGAAAAGGGTGGTTCATCATGATGCCCCAGGGTGCACTAATGATTTAATAGTTTAAGGGCCTACTTACACTCAATGCTTCAGAACTCAGAGGTGCATGCTCAATTTCAACACTAATAAGTTGCCAGGTTGCCACATGGCCCCACCAGCTTTCCAAGCCATTGCAGTTGTCAAAGATCTCATCCAAGCTGCAAACATACCTTGCCAGCACACACACACACAAACTCAGTATGCTGAATGCTACCCTAAGAGTGCCAAATGCCTAGTTACTAATTCACCAATGACTCTACCCCCACCCAGGTAACCACTGAGCAAAGAAGCCAGGATGCTCAGAGGCCTTGCTGGTTTCAGCAATCTTCACCATGTTGCATCCATTTCTGTAGATGAAAGTGATGGGTGAGCTTGCAGGCCCAAGCACCATCTTCACACCCCTTGCTCTGTGTGTCACTGCCAATTCTCCCTGTGGCCTCACCAAGTGGTGCAGCCAGGGCATAATTTTCATGAATGGTCAGCAGTCACTAGAACACCATTCAACCCTCAACTCATTGAACTTCTTGACCTGAAGCTCCCCCCCAGCTGCTCTTAAATTCACTTTGCATTTGCATACTATGGGAGAACCCAGCAATATAATATATATATATATGTGTGTGTTTATTATTATTATGTAGAGATAGATATAGTTGTGTTGATTTAGCTATCTATCCACTATATAGTTCAAAATAACCCCAGCCACATGGTGCCTGCAATTCCAGCCAAGGGGCCCCCTCTCATAGGTGTACTTGAGCTTGGCAAGTTCAGGCTGTTCTTCCTCATCAGGCCTTAGTCAATGGTAACATTTTGTACTAGCACCCCAGCTGCCCACACCCAATCAAAGACAAGGGTGGTGCTTCAAATGGGGCAGCATTGCCATGGCTGTGCATTCATTGTAAATTGAATGCATATTTTGAAAATAAATAAGAAGTAGGTAAGTAAGTACCAAACTCCAGCTAATACATATAGCCTCATCACCAAAGGTTCTGGTGCACTTCACCTAGTCACTAACTAGTAGTTAGTTCCCACTGGCATATTGAACCCAAGATGCTGCTTGTCTACACCCTTCTTCTTGGTGAAGAGTTGGTACCACCCTAGCTGGGCTGCATAGGCATCAACATTGCTGAAGTCATCCTTGGCTGTCTGTGGGGATGGTGCCACACCCCAAGAATTGAACTGCCACATGACATGGGTTTGGATACTGGCTTGATTGAAGCATTGGGGTGTTAAGGGACCAAACAAATCTTCATAAACAATTGAACAATGATATGCCAGTCTGCCAAGGGTGCATGTTACCACCCCACCCCTGCTGCCACATTTAATTTGCCAAAACCAAGGCTCTGCCAGCTGCTCTAGCCTCTTGCCACCTGACTTGCCCTGCAGCTTCTCATGGCATTGCTTCACCCTGTCCAGCCTTACTTGAAGGCTTACAATCAAGACATGAAATATTTTCTGGGCCAATGCTCATGCACATACATGCCCCAACAGCTGCAACCACTTATGAATAATACCCTTTCATGAGTTGGGGCCACAAAAATTCTGACCTGTGACTATGGTGGTGCTGTCAAGGTACAAATCCTTCTTCTTGTTCACTATCAAGTCCTTCACATGAAGTAGTGGTGAAAGTCCAGTAGCAATGAAGTAAACCTGCTCCACCTCCTTCTCTCCCATGTTGGAAAGGGCACCTGAAATGTGGCCACAAAAGAGGAAAGGACATGCAGGGATTAAACCAAGTGAATTGACTGGAAATGGCAAGCCCAGACACTAGCCACTGATAATAAATTGCAGTAGTGATTCAGCCCTCATCATCATTGAATGCCATCAGTGAGTAAAAGTATTTTCTGGTATGGCAACACTACTATAATTACAATTGAATGACTGGCATTGCCACCACTCACTTGCTAAGCTACCTAGCCCAACACCTTCAGCCCAAGATTGGCCAGTTACTGGGACAGAACCTGTCAGACAGCTCCATCAGGTGCTTGACTTTGGCTTTGCGACTCAAGCAATTCTTTCCTTAGATGGCCCAAGGTGGGGCTCCCAACTCCATGATGAGATGAGATTCTGGCACAGCCCTCATCATGAGACATATCATGGCCACTTGCAATCCTCAAAACTGACTTACCATGGCACAATGCAACCTTGCTGGTGGTAAAGTAGGTGGACAGGACTAATTCTTGGCAAAGGCTCTAGTCTGACAAACCCCCCCTTGGGAGCTAAAGCCAGGCCCAAGATGCACCCAATGCCTGGGCTTGTGTTTGTGTGGCCATAGTGGAATCAAATTCACCCCAGGCTGACTCATAATAAATCACCCCTGCCTAAGTTTAATCCAACCAATACCCTGCCAACAAATTGAAATGTGTGAAAGTTCTCTCTTCACAAAACCTCTCAACCAAGCTACTTTGGGATGGTGGACACTTCAGAATCTGATGAGTTCTCATCATCATCTCTCTTCTTCTTCTTCTTCTTCTTATCCTTTCTATCCTTATGTTTTCCCTTCCTTTTCTCACTTTTGTTGTCCTTCTTCATCTTGGAGCTCTTGCTGTGCTTCTTCTCCTTTGTCCTGGGCCAAAGTTTTGGGCTGGCACTTCAACACCCTTCCCCACTGGCATATGAACCAGTCATGATGCTTTTACTGGCATGTGCAAAAATGATTGTGCCTGCCTGGTTTTCATAATTTCTTGGGTGCCAACATTAAGTACATTACATGTGGCCAAGTCATGTCCTCACCTCCCCCTAAGTCATCAGTTGACACACTCAGCCACCCTCACAGCCAAGTTGCTCAGAGCTGCCAGATTCTGATGGTGAATACTCTGAGTCATCTTCTTCATCACCAACAGAATGTCTGAACATAGGCTTCACCCAAGGTGGATATGGCATATAGTCATGTGGCACTCCTCGTTTTCCTGGCCCTGTTCTCTTTCTAGAGGGCATGGCACAGGCAGGTGAGCAGCAATCAGTGATTCAGTGGCTGATGATGTTCTTGGCCATGTGATGGTCGAAGGTGGCCCAAAATGGTTTGATTGATTATAAGAATTATATTCATCAAATCAACCTGCTTGATCATTGAGGTCCCATGTGTGAGCCTAAAGCAGCAGTGCCATGCAAGGTTCCATGGCATGGAAGTCTTGCCATCACATTCATTCCCAAGTAAAATGCTACTTAATAGTTACTTTTCCATGGGATGGCTCAGTTGTGGAAAAGTTGGGTTTTACTTGGGTGCCAAGTTGAGTTGAAGCAACCCTCTACTCAAGCAGACCCCCAAGTTACCCAAAGAGACTAATACCCCTCTGATCATCTCGAAAAGGTTGTTGCGGAACAATATGTCCCGCTTGAATTCTTGGGCCATTCGGGTCATACTGGATTTGATGCTTCTGAAATCCAACATCACATCTACCTCCAACAGGAACATTCCCCAAAGCACCCGTGCATCCAACCAATGGAATCGGTGGAATCCCAGCACATGCACTGACCGTTGAATCGGCAGCGTTACACGCGCCAAGTGGATCCTGAAAAATCTGTGATCTCATCGATGGAGCACCGCTCGGTGGAGGCATTGATGGTGACGGCAACCCTGGACCCTGAAAACGATCCGTGCCATTGTTGGCTGTTGCCAAACTAAACATTGTAGCACACCTCCAACATGATGGTCTTCCAATCACATTTTGCGAGCCACAACATGAACAAAACATCACTTCCATAGGACTCATGCTAGCTACACTACAGGCCCTGACAGATAAATGTTCCGAAGCCGGAGATCCCTGAACTGCTGGAATATCAAAAGGGTTCATCATTGGTGGAGAACCCACAACAGATGATGCAGACGAGAGAAGATCCTTGTTCATCAACTGCTGCTTTGCGGCCGCCAGCTCCTGTCTCAGCATCTGCATCTGGTCATGCAGTTGCTGTCGATCTCCCACCAGCTTCTGGTTGTCCGCTGCAAGAATTGAGATCTGCGCCTCAGCACGCTGGGTGGCGGTCATGATCTCACCTTCAGCTTGTCTGGCCAGAATGGCCTTTTCCTGTTGGACCTGTTGCAACTGATGAGCATCCTTACTTAATTGCTGAACAGCTAGGTCTCTTTCATGCTGAACCTGTGAAATCTGCTGAGACCCTTCTGCATGTATACGCTGCATCGCCAACCGGCTCGCTTGCTCAGCTTGATTCAACCTAGCCTGGTGTTCCAACTCTATACGCGCCAAATGCGCGTTCATTTTCTCCCTCATCTGTGAAACAGTAGCTTCTACCCGATACTGAACCGTGGATTCAACTAAATGCTCCAGCTGCTGAGGGTCAATCATGTTGTGAACGGATTGGGAATGATGTACATTTTGTTGTTGGTGATGGTGCAATGTATTTTGTTGAAAATTTTGGGTGTTGTATTGGTTCAACGTTTGACCATCTCTCCCAGTAGCAGTATGCGCAGATGACCGCCCACCAGTCCTCGTGTGCGCAGCTGAAGACACTTGCACTTCCTGAGGCGGGCTGGAGTCTGCTATCGTTGCTGGACCCGACTGCATCTCTGGTGACTCTGAAGATGTGGAATACTCAATCCCTGGACCGACAACTCTGAATGGCGTCGCAGGCACCTCCCTTTTCATGCAGCCAAAGATACAGGGGAAACTACCGCGCAATTGCGCGAACACCCAAACAAATTAAAAATGAATTTAATCGCGCAAGCGCGAGCGATCAAGATGACGAGAAATTCCGCGCAACGCGCGTTCAGACAAAGATATACCAACGACTACCGCGCAAGCGCGATCTGCAAAGGGCAACGAAAACACTTGAAGGGCTGCTGCCAAACACTGACAAACAAAAATCAATCCTGACACTTCTCACAGGGAATCAAAGTTTACCAGGAGTGCCAACTCACGCCAATGACTTCAAATAGGACGGCAATGGCACCGAATCAATGTCAGTTCTTCGGATCAACCGCTCCAAAGGCCGAAGGCTATCACTTGGCGATCTGCTGTCAGTTGTGATGGCAACCACCTTGGACCCACGTGCACGATTGACTTGCAACTGAAGGATGTCGTTGCAGAGGGCACGCTGATCGTCCACAAAAATGGCAATGCCAAGCTCCTTGACCAGTTCAGCCTTTGACTGGGTATGCCCAGTCACACTGGGTCCCTTTGTCCAATCTGAGGTGCGCTTGCGAGGCACAATGCAGATGTCCTTGAACGGACGTTGCAATCTTTGCTCCAAAGCTCGAGCTGCTGTCAACGTGGTGTTTTGCGTGGCCAATGCACTGCTGAATGACACCACGCAAAGATCCCAGCCTTTGTTCAACAAGTCCCTGAGGATCGCAATGCTGGATGCCGGAACAAAACCCTCCAGAGCACCACCGTCAGTTTCACGCTCGTGGCTCAAAGTCTTATGCCAGTCCAATCCAATCAAAGGTCTCTCAGTAGATCTTGCCCCTGACGCCGTGGAAGATGGTGCAATGTCCGCAACAACCTCCGAGGACTTTGCAGCAGCCTTGGCTGGCTTCAACTGAACAGTCCTCTCCTGGAGAGACTTGGGCTTTGCAACCTCCGACTCGGCCCCTTTTGCAAGCTCCTTGGCCTTGCGAACAGGAGTGATCTTCACAGTGCGCTCTGGCGCAGCTGGTGTTGTGGTAGCACAGGATGAAGGAGCAGATGAGGACGCTGTAGATGGTGCAGACCCAACAAGCTTTGTCGAAGACGATGGCTTTGCCGTGTCAACGGAAGATGGTCTCGAGGCCACCTTCCTTGTTTCAGCCTTTCTCTGCTTCGGAGATCTCGGCTTCTTCGGCACCTTGGGCTCTGCCTCCACTGGAGCAACTGTAGGAGCAGGCACCTTTGAAGCAGCAGCTGAAAACGGTTTGGACCTCCGCGGCAAAGGAGACCTAGATCGCCTCTTTGCAGGCGGTGCCGCCTTCGGCGGTGTCTCAGGGGCCCTTGAACCCGCCTCGGTGTGTTCCACCCACACCCACGACAATTGCCACTCACCACTGGCACCCCCAGTGGGCGTAGGTGGAGGAGCGATGGGTCGTGCCGGCACCGATACAGAAGAGCTCGATGTAATCACACGTCGAGATGACAAGGATCTGACCGATTCTGTGTGATGCACTGTCCTTGCCGGCGGTGGCGGCACAGGCACAGGCACAGCAGCAGCTGAAACCTCCTTGGCTACCGCGCCAGCTTCTGCAGCCGACCTCGAGC